ATACATTTAACGTGTTACAAAAGCTGCAGTGAAGGTTCTGCTGATCTTTGTGCTCTGGTCTGTCACCATTACCAAACATTAACGTCCAGATTTGCTACTTACATGACAAATAGCATGTGATGCGGTTAGTTTCAAAGGTGAATTAAAAAGCGCTATTTTTTAAACACAGGAGCAGTCAGTTCATTTCAACACGGCATGCCCAATCTGCTAAGAGATCCACTTTAGTGCAAGGTCACAAACTGAGGAATGATAATCAGCTGTGGGTAGTTTACAAGCAGGAGAGGCACAGCTTTGTTAAATGTAACCAGAAAAGCATAAATAAAGGTCACACAATGCGTATGTTAAATCTAATATATCCCAAGTGATATCCCACTTATGCTACCATCTGCTGTCCCACTTTACTAAACTTTCTCAGGTCAAGTGGGCCACGGTGTATTGAAGTGTCATAATAAACATGTAAATGAAAAACTTTTTATTAATCACAAAATCAGCATAAAATACGTTAAATAAGCAGGAAGGTAAGCAGGAGGCTCAGTAATGATGACATAAGTACAGAGTTGTGCTGTTTTGTGTCCAGATCGGCTTCTGGAACGAGAAGAGAGGCTATGTGAACACTGCCATCTACAGGCCGATGCAGGAGGAGTTTTACAATGTGCAGAACAAAACCTACATCGTCACTACCATCCTGGTAAGTTTGGGAAGATGATTAGTTCAAATATTTCACACAGTGCAGTAATATATTACTTGTTATGTTTGGAGTAAAGTATTTTGTGCAAATTAGGCAACGTTCTCACACATAGTCACAAATCTCTGACTGCTCCTGTTACCTGTTGAACTTCAGGCGCTGGCTGCTTGACTGCAGTCAGCATACACTCGACTTTAACATCACTCTGTAAAGATGTTTGTACAGACTTTATATCATCTTATCAGCTGTGGGCTTTTTCTTTGGCCACAACATTCATGTCCTTCCTATAACATTTAAAACAATATTTATATCTCCACTCCTCAAAAACGATATATTTCTTTGTTTTTCATCATGTTTTTCCTCACTTACCCATCTGTCTCTGCCAGCATAGCATTTTTCACCAGGAAGGATTAAATGTGTGAAAAGTTATATTTTAACTCAAGATTAAACCAGAACAGAAGCAAAACATAAAGCTGTCAAAGGGACACAAACCCTTTATCTGTCTATAGCTAGCATTCATAATGTCGCAGCAGCATCTGCGGGTTGGTCTGGATACGCTAGAATACTGAGGTACGACTGCACTACTACTGCAAAATAAACAGTAAACACATAAACGAGGAAGTCTGATTAGTTTTCTCACATTTTCCTCAGAAAAAAAGAGGGTTTTTACTAGAGAAGCACAATGTAAAGTAATCTAAGTTAAACATACTCGAGTAGAGCGGCAGTGACATTCACACGTCTGCCTCCTCACAGGAAGCTCCCTACATGATGCTAAAGAAGAACCACGAGCAGTTTTGGGGAAACGATAAATATGAAGGTTACTGTGCCGAGCTCGCCGCGGAGATCGCCAAACACGTCGGCTTCACGTACCGCCTTGAGCTCGTAGGTGACGGCAAGTACGGTGCCAGAGACGCTGAAACAAAGATGTGGAACGGCATGGTGGGAGAGCTGGTGTATGGGGTGAGTGTGAGCAGTGCTCGTTTCCACAGTTAAAATGTGTATTTTCCTTATTTTTATCTTATTTTTAACAAACCAACAGCACATGTTTGAATATCTTAACAGTTTCTGTATTTGGCTTGAAACTCTCAGCTTTTATTACATCATCGTGTTGAGCACATGTTGCTCTGTACCTTTCAGCACTGATGGTGCCTTTCCAAATGTGCAAGCTGCCATCAGCCCAGACGCCCCCCAGTACTGTGCAGCTTCAGACAGGGTCTTTTGCTGGTTATTGGTGGAGACGCAGATGTTGTTGGATTAACTTGATGTGTGGACATTTGTTGCACACAGATGTTTTGCTTTGGCAGCAAATTAAACAATTGAGTTAAATTAACACACTTTATTCATATTTAATAAACCTGTGAAATTTGTGTTGATAAAATGTGACTTAAACATAATTTGAGCTCTTAGAATATTTTAATCCTGCACAATTTTCTCACTTTATCCCAACACCATTCAATAACTTTTACCCCAATATTACTTGGTCAATTAAATACTACATGTTATCTTCAAATGACATGTTGCTATTATATTCTAGTATCAAATCCACTATTTTCAAATGGAGGCCTGATAACAGATTGTATTGTTCTCTTCCACGATGGTTGCTGGCATCCACCAGTAACCTTTCAAAACAAAATGTCTAATTTCACTGCATTGACAGTAGGTAAAGAAGTAAACTGACATTACTGCTCTACTGAAATATAAATTAACACTTCAGTAATATCAGTTTTTCAGTGTTTTCTGGAATCAATCACAGCAAAGAAATTAGACTTTTTCTATTGAAAAATGTTACAGGTCACCATCTTGGGAAAGAACAATACAAAACATTCAGCTTAAGGCCTCTGACGTCAAGATTCAGTTAAACAACAATTATAACTAAACCAATTGACGTAATGTTAGTTTGCATTAACATTAAAATAAGTTACTGGGTTGGCAAACACCTTCCTATTAACATTACCCATTTTACCCCAATAACTAAAAAATAAATTAGCACTTGCAGGTCAAAAACTTTATTCAAGAGACGCAGGAATAACATGGATACAGTGACTGTCAGAAATTACAGCACTGATCAAACTGTGACATCTTGGTTCAAAACAGCACACTTAGAAATATTCAACGTTTTTACTTCAACTGAATGAAACTGAAAATGCTGTTTCACACGACCCAGATGGGATATTTAGACTCTACATCTGTTCACACTACATCTCTTAACTAGTAAAAAAACAAAAAACAAAACAAAAACAAAAATTTAAAAATGCTGCCAATCAGAGAACGTGTACAGCCCCTGTCCTCAAGTTACAGAGTGCACAACACTGTGATTTGTTCCTGGAATTGAGCTTCCAAAATGCAGCAGAGCAAGTGTGAGATTTAAATGTCCTCTCACCTGGAGCTGATCACCTCACATGCATAACAACAGTGAGCTTTC